ATATGGAGATTCAGTGTTGGTAGATAATGCCAAATTATTCTCTTAAAAGTGTCCACTGAGGGGCTGGAGCTGTAGCCCAGTGGTAGAGCACTTGCCTAGCATGTGTGAGGCTGGGTTTGATCCTCAGCACCATATGAAACTAAACAAATAAGGCATTCTGTCCATCTACAACACCAAAAAATATTTTTAAAGTCTCCAGTGAACACCCTCAGAACATAATAACAGTGTCTGCTTTCCTACGTCCTCACTAACACAGGATATTTTCAATCTTATAATTTTCTCCAATCTGATAAAAATTGTAAGTAGCTCACCAGGCACTGTGGCGCATGCCTGCAATCACAACAGCTCAGGAGGTTGAGACAGGAGATCCACAAGTTCAAAGCCAGCCTTAGCAATTTAGTGAGACTCTGTCTCAAAAAATGAAAAGGGCTTGCAATGTGGCTCAGTGGTAAAGTGCTCCTGGGTTCAATCCCTGATAAGCCCTACCCCCTGCAAAATTATAGGTGGCTGACTTCTTATTTTAATTTTAATTTCCTTCATTACTTCTGAAGTTGAATTTTTTCCTTTTTTGCCATCTTATTTTGTGAATTATCTTTATGGACTTTTCAAGTGGTTTTTTTTTAACCATCTCTAAAAGAATATTTTATGAGTATTAATGTTTTGTGATAGCGCATATTTTCTCCAGCCTGTTTGGGTGACTAGGTTGGATGATGGTGTCATTAAATAGGGATGAGAAGAAAATAAGCAGCTGGAGGAAACATAGATGGGTGAAGAGTTTCAGTTTTATATGACATATAAAAAATTTGATAAATAGAAATAATATTGTTGGGGATAGCTACAGTCATTGTCTTCATTCCTTGAAAGAAACTAACCCATCAGATAACTACATAGTTGAATTAATTTTATCCTATTTACAATTCTTTGATAAAATTGTGGGGCTAGGGTTGTGGCTCAGTGATAGCACGCTCGCCTCACATGTGAGAGACCCTGGGTTCGATTCTCAGCACCACATAAAAATAAACAAAATAAAGATATTGTGTCAATGTATAACTAAAAAAAATAGATTTTAAAAAATTGTTTTCACTAAATAGGAGACCAAGAGGAAAGAGGAAGGGAGATCAAGGAGAGGCACTAGGGAATAAAACTTACTAAATTATATTATTATATTCTGGGCATGTATGAATGTGTAACAATGAATCCCATTTTTATGTATAGCATACCAATAAAAATTATTTAAGAGTTGTTTTCACACACCTGTCAACATTGATTTTCATTTTATCATCTTAGTTTTTAAGCTAACTTAAAACTGTGTAAAGGGACAAGAGTATAAGTAAAAAAAAAAAAAAATGCCAGCAATTATTGAGGACCTATTTCTTTTTTTTTTTTTTTTGGTGGGGCAGTACTGGGGATTGAACTCAGGGGCACTTGACCAGTGAGCCACATCCCCAGCCCTATTTTGTATTTTATTTGTAGACAGAGTCTCACTGAGTTGCTTAGGGCCTCACTGTTGCTGAGGCTGGCTTTGAACTCATGGTCCTACTGCCTCAGCTTCCCGAGCCGCAGGGATTACAGGCATGTGCCATTGCGTACCGGCCTATTGAGGGCCTATTTCTAGTACCAAACATAGGACATTTCATATAGGGTCGATGCTAAAGAGATGTTGAGTGAATGTCATCCCACAAATAACTAGAGCAGCTGTCTGAAAAAATGGAAAGTAATTTATTCTGAGAAAAAGGTATAATGAGCTTATGTTTGTTTTGTCATTGTTCAAACTATAGCTTGCAAACCATACTGGGTATATTAAAGTTGATTGGCAGCGAGTAGAAAAGGACATGAAAAAAGCCAAAGAACAGCTGAAGATTCGTAAGAGCAACCAAATACCAACTGAGGTCAAGAGTAAAGCTGAAGAGGTGAGAATTGTTTTGTTCAAATTCAGTATACAAAGGATATAGACAGTTTTGAATGTATAAAATGGGGTAGATAGATATGCCAATATCTCAGTGATGGATAAGGCTTAAAACTTAAAAAGAATAGCTATATTGTGTAGTTAAGCCTTAGTTGGAATATCTTCATTTCAGAGGCATTTTTTAAAGCTACATAATTGAAGTATTTGTTGACCTTTTTCAGTGAGTGAAAGTACAAAGTGATATAAACAGTACTTGTAGTTAACTTGGATGTGTAGGCATGGGGGCACCACAGTGGATGTTAAAGGATGTATTTTCAATGTGATCATTTTGAGTTACATTTATTTCCATGCCTGCTTATGTCTGAAACATCCATACTCTGCTTGTTCTACACGTAAGTAGTAAGTAAGTAGCTGAGGGGTTGACAGAATTTTTCTGTAAAGGGCCAGATGGTAAGTATTTTCAGCTTTGTTGCTCATATGGTCTTTGTCACAAATACTCCACTATGTAGGGTGAAAGTAGCCATAGATGATATATAAACAAGGGGATGTGGTTGTGTTGCAGTAAAACTTTATTTAAAATAGCAGAGTAGATATGGACCATGGGCTGTAGTTCTCTGACCCCTGATCTACTGCAAAAAGCCAGGTTAAATTATATTGGCTAGCATTAAAGGGACAGTTGGTACTTTGGCCCATAGTGGAATGTGGCAGAGGAGGACATCTATGGGGAATTATACAACTTGTGGTCTGATTTAAGAAGCTGGGTGAAGGGCTGGGGATGTGGCTCAAGCGGTAGCGCGCTCGCCTCGCATGCGTGCAGCCCGGGTTCGATCCTCAGCACCACATACCAACAAAGATGTTGTGTCTGCCGAGAAATGGAAAATAAATATTAAAATTCTCTCTCTCTCTCTCTCTAAAAAAAAAAAAAAAAAAAAAAAAAAAAAAAAAAAAGAAGCTGGGTGAAGATGATAAGTTCACTTTTTAGCAATAAGATGACTTCATTAAGAAGAGTTTTAGTTTGCTGATGGAGTTGAAAGCAAAACTAGCAAGTTGAAGAATGAGTAGAAATAAAGTAAAAGTAGTAAATGAATGCAGTTATTTTAAGTGCTTTGTTTAGGGAAATGAGATCTAGGAAGAGTTAGGCACCAGAGCAGAAATGAGGCAGGAAGACATAGGCATTGTGGCAGTGAGGGGACACCAGATGGTTTGGAAACTGGTTCAAAAAGGATAGAATGGTAGAATGATGGGGAATGCCAAGATGTGAGTCCTTTGTATGGTTGGCAGATAAAGCTACTCATTGGAGTTCAAGAAATGATTAGGATGTATTAAGGGAAGTAGTCAGGAGATTGATAGCACATAGACAAAGGAGCCATAAAGGGTGCCTAAGTGTATGTTCTGAGCCTCAGATGAATAGGAGCTTTTGTAGGAAGGTAGGTGAATGGTGGGAATCTTTGGGAGTTTAAGGAAATAAGGACCTCACTTGTTAACAACAGTAATAGAAATGATTCCTAATATTATCATTCTTAGCAGCTAACTCTCTCATTGTGCCAAATCTTTTATTCACAGGTTGTGTCATTTGTGAAGAAGAATGTTCTAGTGACTGGAGGATTTTTTGGAGGCTTTTTGCTTGGCATGGCATCCTAAGGAGGACAACTTCACTTCCATTGTTCTGATTTTTTTCTAATCAGCAGCCTCTACACTCCATCATAGGACATCAAGTCTCTCCTGTTCTCCCATGCCTTCCTCCCTGTTGTGTCAAACCTGAATTGGCTTCTATAGGCATCTGTTGGTACAAGTTAATACAGGCCCTGCCTGCTGTGAGCTTGATGGTGATGGAAGAGACATTAGACATTAGCTCTCCTCCCAGTATACTCCCCACYTGGTCAATCTGTAGGTCAGCAAAAATGTCCTTTCCCTTATAAAATACTTACCAGAATACATTGCAAGATCATTTGCCATGAATGGGTCCTCAAAGGTTGTCCCACACTTGATTTGGAAAMGAAGCAGATAGTTAACTTATGTGCTGCATGGGAAGGAACTGAATACATTTGCCTTTAAGCATGAAAGATTTTGGTATCTTSGTGTGTATTTTATTTCTAGTTGGTTTTAGATTACAGAAAGAGAAGCTATTTAAACCTGTTATAATTATTCTGACAAAAAATGGCAGTCTAAGAATGATAAATGACAGAAATCTGAATATGAAATGAACTTATGCTAAAGGGTATATGCTGTACTGAAGGTATTGTATTTGGTAGGAAGATCTCTTAGGGAAACCAGCTRTTAGAAATACATTGTTGGGTGGTCAGAGAAATCATTTAAGAACATTAAGATACTATTCAGGAATGTTTTCCACCGTATCAGATAATGTATTTCATRGCTATTTCCAAAGATTTGATTTATGGTAAAATGAATGATTTAGMTAGGAGAAGGAAGAAGCTCTTGGATTTTTATTTCATAGAAAAGGCWTTGTGCTTTGAAATGTGAAGTATTATTCCTGTGTCACAGCATTAGGGGTAGCCATAGATCCTTGTTGTCAATTCTAATTCTTTATCCAATTTGTATGAAATGCAGCATTTAATCCAGAATTTTATTTTATTTATTTATTTTTTGTTGATTTTTTAAAAATAAATGACAGTGGAATGCATTACAATTCTTATTACATGTATACAGTACAATTTTTCATATCTCTTAAACCAGAATTTTAAATAAGCAACATTTCCAGATATTCAGAATTAAGAAAAATAATGATAGCACACATGAAATGAATTATTTCTGTCATCAAGTGAAGTCTGCGTCACTTGATGACACCCCTCCATTTCCCAGAATTATTCTTTAAAAATTTACACACACTTAACACATTTTGTTGTAATTCCAACTGGAATATCAGCTTTGGATGGTAAGTGAAAACTCCTTGTCCCAGGCCTTGAGAGCCCTTTCCCCATTTGTGCCCTTCAGTACCTGTCAGCATGTTCTTCTCCATTGTCTTCATCTTTATGTCACAGGGCCTAGCACTTAATAAGTTCTGAGTATTTGCTGAATATATGAATTTTAACCTTCTAGAACAAAAACTTACTATTAAAGGTTAGTTTTACTCAGATGTAAATCTTAAAACTTGCAGTCAATCCATGTAAAATGGGGATATAGCTCAATTGGTAGAGTGCTCACCTAGCATGTACAAGGCCCTGGGTTCAATCCTCAGCACCACTACAAAAAAAGTTTTAACTATCTTGAGAATGATGTATTGAATCTGAAAATTGAAACTACCAGTGGATGTGTAGAACTTTATAGAATTCACCTATTTGCATTTTCCTCATTAAATTACAGTAACATTTAAGGCAACAAAGTTATTTTGCTTGCAATATGTATGAATCATCGAATCATAATGGTATGAGCACCTCTCTGCTACATATTTTTTCCATGAACTTAAAAATTATTTTCACTTTTTATTATGGAAATTTTCAAACACATAAAATTAGAGAATACACTGACTTCACCATGTATCTATCACCCATGTAAAACCACCATGAAATTTTAACTAACCAATTATTGTAAAACAAACACCAAATAATCATTTTATTGTATTTCAGTATATATTCTTAAAAGCTAAGTACTTTTTAAAATCATAAGTACAATACCTTATTATCAAGTCGAAAATCAATAATTCTCTAATGTCAAATATCTGGTTCAATATTTCCTCATCTCAAAAGTGTTTCACATTTAGTTCAAAATTTAAGGTCCATATTGCATTTGGATGGTATAAGTCTCTTTTAATTTATAGGTCCTCCTTTATTTTTGCTTGGAGTGTATTTATTGGTAACAGTTCCAATAATATATATGTTCTTCCCTTATTCCCTACATCTTTTTTCTGATGCCAGGGTCTCTTTCTTTTTTGGTATTTATGGTGAGCATTGTCTACATGTATGGCCAGATAAACTTGTTTTGGATGTGTTTGGGGTTTTGGCACCTCCTGCTGGTGGGTATGTTGGAACATTATCCTTGAATCTTCAAGTTTGTGGACCCATGTAGTGAAAACTCCTTGTCCTGGGGCTTGAGAGAGCCCTTTCCCCATTTGTGCCCTTCAGCACCTCCAGCACGTTCTGCCCTCTCCCAGGTCACTACAGCTCTGCACTGCATTTTCACTACTCTGGCAGCCCTCCAACCCAGTGCCCCTCCCAGGATGGGACAGGGTAGGATGAAAACTTGGGACCTGTTAGATCAGAGCTGTAACATTTGTCTCTTTGCTGAGGTTGTCCCCAGAGTCAAAGGAGTGAGGTTAGTGGTCAGGGGCAGTTTCTGGCAGCTGCCTGCTTGGGCTCAAAAGGTTTGACTCTTAAGCTTCTAGTCTCCCCAAGCTCTGATTCTCTTTGCTGACCTTGAGCTCAAAGGAAACCTGCTTGAGCAACCCCACTGTCATAAGTGTTACTGGCATTCTGATAATATGGTAACAAGACTATCCTTCATCCAAATGGCCATTGTTTGCTTGGACCTCCCACCACTCAGCTTCTGGATCTGAACAGTTACTATCTTGTGGATTCTGGAAGAAGACCAGACATATTCAAGATGGAAGAGTTTAACATAATTCTAGCTAACACTCCCTTAGGGCTGGTGCTTGTGGTTTTGAAAGGCAGAGTTCCTGTGTGGTTAACTATTAATGTGCTTTTTGTTCATTCTTTTGATCAATGTTTGCCAGAAAGATAGGCATAAAAAATGGTTGAATTTTTATTTGCAACTTGCACTTTTTTTACAGTTTGGGAAAATACCATGAGTCTCTGCTTGAAAAAAATAGTATAGAGATGGATTTAGAATTTTTGAGTATCAGTGTTTTGGATGATCTGTTTCTTCCATGAGGGAAACTCCTACACGCAATCCTGTAGGAAAATTAGACTGTTCCCCTTTCTGATCCCCTGTCATGCATGTCCAGTATGATTTCTTGGAAATTAGGTCCAGAACTAAAAAGGGTTCTCTGCCCAATAGTCATTTACATAGTATTAGTGTGAACTCTTGGAAAACAGGATGGAAACCTAATTTAGTTCTTGACCTGATTTCCCAGAAATCTTACAGTGTGGCTTATATCTGTGATGCCTTTATTCTGAAGGGATCATGAATTTACAAACTATTTTTCTAAAGAAAACAGTGTTGCACTTTTTTCACATTTTTGACTTGCCAAAACTTTTTACAATTTTAAAATGTTAAGAAATGACATGATTATTGAGAACAGTGCTTCTCAACCTTTTTTGCACATGGGTGTATCCTCTGTAGAACTGTAAAATCTACTGATGCCTGGCTTTCATCCTAGAGATTCTGACTTAAGTGGTCTAGGGTGCTGTTGTGGCAGCCTGAGGTTTCAAAATGTTGCAGATGTTTCTAATGAGCAGCCAGGACTGAGATCCACTGAAGTAAAAGAGTTGGTAGCTGGTACTAATAAAATTATAGTTCTGCTATTAATGTGACTACTTAATAGGACTTCAATATCATTATAAATTAAGTGCCCTACAACTTGAGATAACTGCTACATACTGAACAAAAGTACGATATTATAGTTCACAAAATTTGAGTAGATGCAAGGAAGGGAATTGTACTGTGGTGCTTTTTTTAAATCTCTAAGATAGAGGAGATCATAGTTTCCAACTTCCCTGAAGACAGTTTCATTAATATCAACTCCTATCACATAAAAAGCATTTGAATGTTAAACCTTCTCTAATGGCTATTGTATTTTTATCTACATCATAATAATGGCTAAAGAGAATGAGATTGATTAAACCAATGGCTTCCAATAGATCTGTTTAAAGGAAGGAAAACTGTTTTGAATCTTTCAAAACTCTAAATACCTGGCAGCAGGGGGACATTGTTAAGAAGGCCACAACTAAAACACAGAAAAGCCATCTATTTGATTTGTAATGGTAATGTAAATCTTGGCACCACAATCTATTGATAATTTTAAATGTAATTTAGATCCATCGATGATGTAAGCATTATAGTTGTAAAATGCTTTATTAAATTGTTGTACTATTAACATGAGAGTTTATTTAAATTATTTCATGGAAATTTAGCATTGCTTCCCTGGTGTGTGGACCAGACATCTCTAAAGCAACATTTCTTTTGTCTGCAAACTGGATTCACAATGGCAATACAATAGTCCTTTCCAAAGAATCATAATTCACATTAACATAGGAAAAACTCTATAAAGTCCAACAGGAAAGAAACCTGTTTACCTGTGTTTAACCTAGTATTCCCCAAATATCCAAAGATTTTTTTTTTTCATTACTGTTCCTAGAAATACTTTCAGAAATGCTGCTTTAAAGAAACAGTTTGCCTAGGGGCTGAGGTTGTAGTTCAGTGGTAAAGGGGTTGCCTAGGACATGTGAGTCACTGGGTTCAATCCTCAGCACCACAAAAATAAATAAAATAATAAAGGTTAAAAAAAAGAAACGGCCTAAAATAATAATGGCATTTAATCATCAAGGACCTATCAGGATTTGCTCATAAAGTCATTTTTCTTTTTGGAAGGAGGGGCAATGACAGTTCTAGTATCTATTTGAGCCAAGTGGATGGCCATAAGGTAGCTGTCAATTGCCAACAGGCTTCATTCAGTAGATTTTTATTAATATCTGGATTTATTAGAGCAGGTTTTGACTATAAGGATATAAAAAATAGGTATATGACCTAAGACTTTTTATTTTGTTCCTGCTTGCCTGACTTCCAATGGAATTTTTTTCTTCATTCACAATAAATTAGGGATCACTAAATATTACGAAAATCATTTCTATGCCCTTCATACCACTGAGTGAAAAAATATTAAGCACCTTCTTCTGACTAGGCACTGTGGTGGGGATGTAAAAGCAGAAAGAAATATTCCTACTGGCACCTAGAAGGACATTTTGTATTATTGGAAGTACAACAGGTATGGAGTTAGGTTAAAGGAAGTTTTGAGTTAATTCAGCATGTAATCTATGCTTATTACCCTGGAGGCATGAGTCTTCACCTCATGTCTCCTATGACTGGTGGTATGAATTCAAGTGCTAAAGAGAATTCATTAGTAACCTGTATTGAAGATCCTTAAAATACACTTAGTACCAAGCCAAAATTTTTCACTTAAACAGGTTTATTTTAGCAGCTCAATTTTATGACATTCTACACATGTCTTAAAATCGTCTGTTCTGCATAGATGGCATATTCCACTAGCTCTTACAGTTGATTTTTCTTTTGCTATTTGCTGCTACCTGGCCTAAAAAAAGGAGGATAAATAAAATGTGCTTGGTAGAAACATGGAGCAGCATTTAATTAATTCTTCAGCAGAACTTTACTTTGCTGGAGACTTCAGTGTCTGGTTTTCTTCTTTTTCAAATCCTGAACAGACGAGAGATCTTCCCTTGGGATATCGAGCACAACACTTATGCAGTTCTTCGATAACAGCCTGACACTTTGATTCGATGTAGTTGTTGGCTGCAAAATAGACAGGGAGACCCCAGTCATGATCTCATGGCTGAGAAGGTACAAAGATCGGCATTTACTATCTAACTATGGAACTGGAAGAAAAAAGACATATCTAAGTCAATGAAATTCTTTCTGATTTAGATACCTGTCAATAGGTCAATTAGGGAAAAAAAGTATGATGTACAAAGTACTTGAAAACTTTTAGTATATCATTTCCTTTTACTATTGAGTTAATAGATTATCTTTCTTCTAAGGCAGTGGTTATTATTAGTATTAGTAGTCACTGATCTCTTGGAAATATCATAAAATAGAAAAATGTACAGGACCCACATAAAGACCTTATGGCCTCCATAGCCTAAAATATTATCTGCTTGGCTCTTCACAGAACACATCTGCAGAGTCCCTAAGTAAGGAGAACTTGACATAAAAGATTTTATGTCAGCTGCAAGTAATCTAAGAAGCTGCATGGAAGTTAACTATACCACTTACTAGTTATGTGACCCTGGACAAGTTATGTAATTTCTGTGTCTATTTTTCCAGCTCAAAAAGGGCAATCATAGTAGTATCCATCTTGTGTGAAAGGATTAAATTTTTTACCATGTGTAAAGCCCTTCACATCTAGCAAGTGTATAGTCTTTTCTGCTTTCATTGTTTCATATTGCACCAAGAGTGTGGAACCAACTTTTTAACTTGGTTCTTGTTCTCCTATTGTCTTATTGTCCTTTTGAGTTACTACTTCAAATCATATAAAGATTTATTTAGGAGAAGAAATTATAAGCAAAAAAATTAAAAGCCCACATTTTTTCCTTTTTTATTAAAGTTGGAGAGAATAAAGTATGACTAAAATGATACTATTATGCTTTGTATACAATAAGAGACATGAAAAATTGTGCTCTATTTTTGTAATATGAAATGAATTGCATTTTGCTGCCATATAGCAAATTAGAATTTAAAAAAATTAAAATGGTATTATGCATCAACATTTTAGAATAATCCAAAAGACTATAAAATAGTGCTTCCATCATAATATGAACCAAGATAAACGAAATAAGGGTTTTCTTTAGGTGGTGGGTATTTGGGGAATCGTTAACCATTTCTCCTTGTTTCTATAATTTCAAGAGCATCTATCTATTACTTTAATAATGGGAAAATTACCAAAAAGCCAATTTTCAGGTAGTTCTATAGCTTTTTTAATTTGTTCTGGCAATAATCATTTGCTGATAAAAAAATAAAATCCTCTAATATTTGGTCATACTAAGAGGCTGAATTGAAGCTAAACAGGCAAATAACATCAAATATGCTTTAAAAGAAATTCACTTTTCATACTGAGTGAATTGCTGAATCTGGCAGCCTGAATTCCAACTATGAATGCCTCCCTAACAAAATCAAAAAGATTCAAAATAAATAACCTAATGATGTACCTCAAAGGTCCCAGTGAAACAAGAACAAATCAATTCCCAAATAAGTAGTAGGAAAGAAAGAATTAAGAGCTGAAATTAATAGAGAATAAAAAGTAATACAAGGGATCAATGTAACAGAGTTGGTTCTTTAAAAGATAAACAAGATTGATAAGCCCTATGTAAACTACCCCAAAATAGAGAAGATCCAAATTAATAAAATTAAGAGATGAAAAAGGAGATGTCATCACAGAAAACTGAAATTTCAGAGACTACTTTAAAAACTTACATTCCCCAAATCAGAAAATCTAGAAGAAATGCACATGTTTCTAAACACAAAAAAGGTATCAAATCTGAACCAAAAAGATTGAAAATCCAAACAGACCTAATAAGTAATGAAATTAAACCAGCAATTAAAATCCTTCTAACAGGCAGGTATGGTGACACATTGTAATCCTAGCAGTTTGGGAGGCTGAGGCAGGAGAATCCCAAGTTCAAAGTCAACCTCAGTAACTTAGCGAGACCCTGTTTCAAAATGAAAAATAAAAAGGGGGCTGGGGATGTGGCTTAAGAGGTAGCTCGCTCGCCTGGCATGCATGCGGCCCAGGTTTGATCCTCAGCACCACATACCAACAAAGATGTTGTGTCCGCCAAGAACTAAAAAATAAATTTTAAAAATTTCTCTCTCTCTCTCTTAAAAAAAAAAAGGGCTGGGGATGTGGCTCAGTTATGACTCAGTGGTTAAGAACTCCTGAGTTTAATCCCAAATACCAAAAAAGAAAAAAAAAAGCCTTCTAACAAAGAAAAGCTCAGGACCAGATAGATTCATAGCTGAATTCTATCAGACCTTTAAAGAAAAAAAATAATGCCAGTGTTCCTGATAGTATTCCATGAAATCAGAAAAGGGGTGCACACCCAAATTCATTCCACGAAGCCAGCATCACCCTGATACCAAAACCTTATAAACATGTCAAATAAATAAAACCACAGGCCGATATCCATGATGATCATATATATAAAAATTCTTAATAAAATGTTAGCATTTCATTAAAAACCACATTAAGAAGATTGTACACCATGATCAAATTATTTTTATACCAGGGATGCAAGGATATTTCAACATGCAAATCAATAAATATAATTCATCACATAAATAGATTTAAAGACCAAAATCACTTGATCATAATAACAGGAGCAGAAATAAGCCTTTGATGAAATCTAGCACACATTCATGTTAAAAGCACTGCAAAAAACTAGGGACAGGAGGAACTTACCATTGCATCATACAGGCTATATATGTCAAACTCAAAGCCAGCATCATAGGGAATGGGAGAAAACTGAATGCATTTTCTCTAAAATCAAGAACAAGAGAAGAATATCCACTCTTACCACTTCTATTCAATATAGTCTTTTAAACTAGCCAGAGAAATTAGGCAAAAAAAGGGAATCAAAGAGATAAAAGTCAAATTATCACTTTTTGCAGATATGATTCTATACATGAGACCCAAAAATACTCCAATAGAAGACTTGTGGAGCTGACAAGCACTAGTCAGCTGATATTCATCAGCATTTATTGATTTTTGTATGTTGAAACATCCTTGCATCCTTAGAATAAAACCAATTTAGACAGGCGTGGTGGCATATGCCTATAATCCCAGTGGCTGGGCAGGCTGAGGCAAGAAGATCACGAATTCAAAAGCCAGCCCCAGCACTTAACAAGGCCCTAAGCAACTTAGTGAGATCCTGTCTCTAAATATAAAAAGGGCTGGGGATGTGGCTCAGTGGTTAAACTAGTCCCTGGGTTCAGACCCTGATACAAAACCAAATCAAACCAAACCAAACAACAACTTGATCATGATGTACACAATCTTCTTAATGTGTTATTGAATATGAAATGCTAATATTTTATTAAGGATTTTTATATCTATGTCCATCAGAAATATCAGTCTGTAGTTTAATTGATGTGTTTATATGGTTTTGGTATCATGGTGATGCTATCTTCATAGAATTAATTTGGGAGTCCCCACCCTTCTCTACTTTATGGAACAATTTGAGGAATACAAAATCCACTTTAAAAAACCAATAGTTTTACTATACACCAATAATGAACCTGCTGAGAAGGAAATCAGGAAAAAATTTCTTTCATGATGCCCTGAACACCAACCAACCAACCAACCTATGGATAAATCTAACCAAGGAGGTGAAAAACCTCTACAATGAAAACTATAGAATATTGAAGGGCTGGGGATGTGGCTCAAGCGGTAGCGTGCTCGCCTAGCATGCGTGCGGCCCGGGTTCGATCCTCAGCACCACATACCAACAAAGATGTTGTGTCCGCCGAGAACTAAGAAAAAATAAATATTAAAATTCTCTCTCTCTCTCTGTCCCCCTCTCTCTCTCACTCTCTCTTTAAAAAAAAAAAAAAAGAATATTGAAGACCTTGGAAGATGGAAAGACCTCCTGTATTCCTGGACAGGCAGAATTAAAGTTGTTAAAATGGCCATATCACCAAAAGCAATTTGTAGATTCAATGCAATCTCCACCAAAACACCAATGACACCCTTCACAGAACCAGAAAAAACGGTCCTGAAATTCATATGGAAGAATAAAAGACCCAGAATAGCAAAGCAATTAAGCGCCACACTACCTGATCTCAAATTATACTACAGAACTACAGTAACAAGAAACAGCATGATATTGGCAACAAAATAGACATAATGACCAATGGAATAGAAAAGAAGACAGAAAACAAATTCATGCAGTCACCTGATCCTTGACAAAGGTGTTCAAAACATACATTGGAGAAAAGGCATCCTTTTTAACAAATAAAGCTGGGAAAACTGGTTATTCATATGTAGAAGAATAAAACTATTTCTCTGTATCTTACCCTACACAAAAATCATCTCAAAATGAATCAAAAGCCTAGCAATTAGACCAGAAACACTGCAACTGCTAGAAAATAGGAGAAACACTCCATCATATAGGTACAGGCAATGACTTCCTCAATAGGACTGCTAAAGCTCAGGAAATAAAACCAAGAATTAATAAATGGGATGGTGTCAAAGTTTCTGCACAGCAAGGAAAACAATTAAGAGTGTAAAGAGAGTAATGAAAGAGCAAAGAATTATAATGCATTATGCTGTCATATATAAATTAAAAAACATAGTCATCTGAAATATATAACTTTAAACCAAATAAATTTCACAGCATTTTTCAAAATAAATAAATAAATAAATAAATAAATGTAGGCATATAACTTCTGCCTCAGTATTTCCACAACAAAGAATATGTTCTAGATTCACAAATTCCTATGTTCAAACAAGATACACTTATGATGTCATTCATTCCATAATTGTAATGTAAAAAATGAGGAAGGAAGCAAGCAAGCAAGCAAAAAGAAGGAGGGGATGAAGAAAGAAAGAAAAATGGAAGGAAAGAAAGGGAAATTACCTATTGATAAAAGATTGATTGGTTAAATAAATGAAGCAATATGCAGCCAACTGGGGAAAAAAAAGAGTGTGAAGAGAAAGTCTTTGGAATGGGAAAAAGTCTTTGCCAGCTACTCTTCTCTAACACAGGATTTAGATCCAGAATATATAAAGAACTTGAAAG